GCTGGGAGCTGAGCCCGGGAGAGCCGGCGCCGCGGGCCGCGCGGAGGGAGCCGGGGCGGGCGCCCGCGTCCCCGGCGGTGCTGTCTCTCAGCCACTTCTGCAGGTCTCCTTTCCTCTGCTTCGGAGATGTTCGCCCGGGAGCCTCGCGGACGCTGCCTCTGCTCCTGCACAACCCCAACGAGGAGGTGGCGGAGGTGGAGGTCGTCCACCTGCCGGCGGCCGAGCTGGGCTTCAGCGTGTGGCCGCGCCGCTGCGTGCTGCAGGTGGGTCGGGAACCCCTCCCTGGCGGGGCGAGCGCGGGGACCCCGGGCGGCTTCCCTTCCGTCGGGACCGCGGAGGGGTCCCAGTTGGCAGGCGTTTTCGTGGACTTCAGACGGTGCAAAATGATTTTGGTGCTCAAAATTAAATGACACTTTAACCTTTATCAAGTAGTTTTTTAAAATAGACTTAAGTTGTTGCAAATGCTTATGCTCTTTTCAAGTAATGGATGGCGCTGTTTTGACATTTTGTTTTTAAGACTGTCAGAACATTGATTGATTAAAGCCTTTTAAAATTTATTGCCCCTCCCAGTCATTTTGGTACGCATTTTACTAAGTGTGAGTTCTGAGACTCCCCCCTTTTTCTGGTGAAATAATGAACTTTGTTTTGGTAAATGTCTACAGCAAAAGAACCCCTCCAGAAACTTCGCCGACGTTCCAATGTGTGTCCGTGGTGTATTTTGTATTTTCTCCTTCTCCTTCTCCTTCTCCTTCTCCTTCTCCTTCTCCTTCTCCTTCTCCTTCTCCTTCTCCTTCTCCTTCTCCTTCTCCTTCTTCTTCTTGACAGTATAGTTTTAATGATGCATCAAATTTGATTTTGTAAACATTGTTTTAAGAGCTTCCCTGTAGCCTTTACAGCCAAAATAGCGTTCCCATTTCTATCATCATCTCCAAAAAACAGACAATTTTGTTTATTTTGACTACTTTTGTAGAACTTCGAAAAGTGTGCAAAATATACAGACCATTGCCCGAGGAAATGGAACGTTTTATGAGACTGGAGCTGTCTGTCTTTAGTGGTTCACTTACACTCAGAAGCTGCCCTGCCCTATGAATTGCTAATTGCCTTTTTTGCTCTGTATGAAAAGAGATTTCTATCTACATAATACTTTTTCTTGTTCCTTTTTGTTATGGTATAAGTGAAGTTCATCATTGTTGCTATTTTTAATATAAATTCTGTTTTGTAGAGTAAAAATTTCAGGGTTCTTACTGTTTAAAACTTTCTGCTTATGATGTTATATAGTTTCTCATTTAAAATAAAAACTTGTCTTTTTTCTGGAGGAACAACAGGGTTTGCTTTGTCACATCAGGGTGTTGCATTTGGCCCAGATTTTACCTGCCAGTCTCTGAACTCTGGAGTCACATGGTTTGGTTCTAATTGTGCACTAGCTTCATGACTTTGGCTATACTTCTAGACACTGGCGACTTCATCTGTAAAATGTACATAGTTGTAGTGCCTTTTTCCCCAGAATTGTGATCATGAAATGAATGCCATGAGATGCACCTGTCTGGAACATAATGGTTGTTTAAAAAGAAAAATGTTATAATGTGGATTGTAGGGTCTGTGCAGAAGAGTGATTTAGCTCAACTTTATGTTTCTTTTTTGTGCTAAAGTCTTTACAATGAGGGCCATTATATTGGGAATATTTAATCTTTTACTTATTTGATACAGGATCTTGCTATGCAGTTTAGACTCGTAGTGATCCTCCTATCTCAGCCTCCCCAGTGCTGGGATTACAGATGTGTGCCACCATGCTGGGTTTCCGTGGCTGGCATGGAACGTAGTACCGGGTCAACCCAGATCCTTGACTTTGCCAGGCAGGTGCTTTGACCATTGAGCTATCTCCCCAGCCCCTACATTTGAAATAGAAGTACTGTATATAATAAAGAGGCAGACATGTAAATTAAATTAAAAAAATAAGTTAATAAAAATATTGGAAGAATATCAGTCTTGTACAGGTAGATTTTATTTTATAAGGAGCCCAATTATTGTTGTTGCCTTTTTTCTTAATAATGAAATAAGCAAATAAAATATATTTCAGTTATTAAGTGCTATTAAGGACATGAGGTGATGTAATGGTTATTAGTCCTTTATTGTATTTGAAATTTTAGATGATGTATTTAGTTATTATTTTATTACTATGTTGATAATAATTTAAAGTGTATTCTTTTGATGATAGCCTACAGAAAAAACTGTCATTTCTGTTAACTGGACACCGTTGAAAGAAGGCCGAGTAAGAGAGATTGTGACCTTTCTTGTAAATAATGTTCTGAAACATCAAGCTATATTATTAGGAAATGCAGAAGAGAAGAAGAAGAAAAAGGTAATTGTTTTATTATATGATTTACTCTTAAAATATTTAAAAATATGTGAAACATTTTGATGAAGGCCTTGATATACCATATATGATATTGATTATTTAAAAGCAATACTTAGGAGCCGAGGAGATGGCTCCGTAGAATAAGTGCTTGCCTGGCAAGTATAAGGGCCTGAGTTCAATCTTTGGTTCCGCAAAAAAAAAAAAAAAAAAAGTAATACCCAGTATCTTTAAATTCATTGGTATATTTTGTTTATTTTTATAGAAGAGTCTCTGGGATACCATTAATAAGAAGACCGTTTCAGTCTCATCATCTCATAACAAGAAGATTTCAAATACTCAAAATATTAATAAAACATTTAGTGTTTCCGAAAAAGTTGACAGAGTTAGGAGCCCACTACAATCCTGTGAAAATTTGGCTGCTAATGAAGGCTGTGCTCCAGCAGAAAGCAGTTCTTTAACTCTTGAAGAAAGTAAAATACCCATCTCACCTATTAGTCCTGTCTTCAAAGAATGCCATGTTGAAACTTGCTTGCCATTTTCTGTCCGTCGCTCTACTGCCATCTCATCTCATCATGCATCTGGAAATGGAGAACAAGTAGAAAGTGTCATTGTTTCAAAAGATTTTAGTCTTGATGAGAAAGTCATAACAGAAATTTCCTTTAATTCCATAAATACTAGTGGCCAAAGTGAGGTGAATACTAGTCTCATCCTTACCCCAAACTGTTCTTCACCTTTAAACACTATAGGAATCCAAGGAAATTTTCTGAATCCAGATTCTTTCATGAATAACACCCATGCAGCAATTAATGATATAGGGTCAATGACATGTGTATTACCAGATACACTTACAAAAGGTAACTTGAAGTCTGTTCATTTGGAATCCAAAACTGTGCATGAAATTTATCAAACAATTTTGAGTCCAGATTCTTTTGTAAATGGTAATTATGGATTAAATCGAGATCTAGAGTCAGAGTCAGTTAAGCCCATTTTATCCCCAAGTCAATTTGTAAAAGATGTCATGCCACATTTATGTGTAGCTCAGCAAACATGTAAAAACTTAGCATTATCGAGTGAAAATTCTCAGGTTCCACAGCTTCTTCAGGATCAGAGAAGTGATGTTTTTCCATGTGATCCCGAATGTCAGAGTTCAAAAACTTCCAAATTTAATCTTGAAGAACTAAACCCCGTAACAGTGAAATCGGAGTACTGCAGTTTTACAAAACAAAGCCAT